ATGTGCTGATTTGCCTGGGTGCTAAAGCATCACCAATAATTTTGATTAATGTGTCTTGACACTGAATGCATTAGCCATACAAGATTTGTCTTGCTTAAAGGCTAATTAGAATTCAAGTCAGCATGATACCTGCTTCTGAGGATTATAGCAAGAACATTTGTTGTAATAAGAACCTCTAGGCAGCTAGTTTTTGTAATGATTGATTTGTAAAATTATTGAGGGGAAAAAAAAGAATGAGAAAGTAGAGTCTGTCTCAAAAACACTATTTCCCTTAAGGATAAAATTTGAGTATAAATTAAAACATCTTGGTGATATGATGAAAATGAACTACAATAGCAGGTTTATTTAAAACTCAGAAAACGTAACTTTCAGCTTTTTTTTTTTTTTGTTGTTAACAGGATTACATCATGAAAGCACATTCAGTATGCTTATTGGAGATTTCGTTATGGCTGCTAAAAATCTCTGATTTCTGGCTGTATGAGTTTCCTAATTGGATTCTAAAATTACTCAACTGCTCAGACACAGTTTGTACAAGCAGGAAATAATTACAAGTAACAATAATAGAATCTTATCCTTTTAACCACTATTTCTTCCTTTTCTTTTTTCTTTTAGGAATGCATTTCATATCCTATGTTACTTTCAAACCTTCCTCTGCTATTTTAAAATGTAATTTGATCTTTCTGAGGAAGGAACCTCATCTCTAGTAGACTTAGATGGTAAATTTCTATAGATTATTGAACATTGTAATTAATCCTAAGAATGCCAAAGTAAATGTTCCTGCCACCTGTAATATTTAGTCTTTATATGATTTAGTGTCAAGGATGATTCCATATAACGAGGTATAAAGAATTAGTTACTGTCTCATAACTCTCCCAATCTTCAAATTCTTAATCTGAATGTCAAATCTTTACTAATGTGGAAGCCAGAACAAAAATATCAAGCTTGAGAGAAAATAGTGTAAATTTTTTTTTCCATCTAAATGACTTTTTTCATTTGATGTAATTTTAACTGTATTATATTTCCCTACTCTATTAATTTTATTATGTAAAGTTTTCCCAATTTACTTTCTGAATATGATGAGGTAAACTGGTGGTGTCTGTGGAAAGCTGAAAAGCAGACATTGAAAAATCCATATTTGTAAGAAATGTCTTAGTCTGGGCAACACTATGCCTGGGGCCTAGAGAATTTCCTCCATTACATGTCCAGTTTTTCTTTTGAATAGTGTAGGAAGGAGAATTTTGATAGTACCGTGTCTTATGCCCAGAATGTTGTGTTCCCTCATCCTTTATCCCTGGAATATATTTGAGTTATAGGAAAAGGGAAATAGTGTGATGTTTCAAGAGAAAGTAGGTTACCTTACTGCTCTTAAAGGTGATATTCATCCATCACTGCAAAGGAGTTTCCAGAATTTATGTCTATTAACCTATAGAATGTAAATGGCTTTACGTTCTCCAAGTTAAAATCACTCATGTTAAGAAACGCTATATGGAATAGGTGCCTAACCAATGCTTCCAATATTCTGAGCTCTGAGAGAAAAAAAGAGTAATAGCTAAAATTTATATAAGATTTACTATATGCTTGGCAACACTTTAGAGTTGCACATATATTAACTAATTTAATCTATACAACAACTCTCTGAGGTATGCACAACAATGATTTTATGAGGAAACCCGAGGACAGGAAGATTATTGTAACTTGCCCAATGTCATGATACAGCTTCATTAACTGGTGGAGGTGGAACCAGGACGCATACACGGGTGGTCTGGTTCTAAAGCTGGGGCTCTTGATCACTGGTCTATACTGCTTCACTACTAGGGCAATACAATCATAAAAGGGGTAAGTAATGTATTTACGTTTTTCAAAATAAGTGTGGAGAGAAAAATATTTTAAAAATGGTAACTTTAAATCTTATCTTTTTATGTGGTATCAGAAAAGCTAGTTATAATAAGTTTTACCCATGAAAAACATATTAGAAGCCTTGTTTATAAAAATCATTTTCTGAGCTCAAATCTTATTCCAGAAGATCAATGTCTGCATGGTACATTGTGCATAATTTAATTTTCCCAGTTGAACATCTTGACACTATATGAACCATGAATGCATGAAATAGGAATTCCAAATGTCTTCCACATGGTGAGACAACTTTCCAATACTTGTGCAGGAAGTCTAAGAGTAGTTTGAAATTAAGATATGCCTGTTCTTGGTGACTTTTATTATGTATGCCCAAGGTATTAGCACTTGTCTCTGAGTGGGACTCTGAAGTGATAGATAGATGAGTCTGCTGTCTGTATTTAGGCACTTTGCTCATTTCCTGAGAGCTGTGTGGAAGGCATTTGGGTGCTCATTAAGTTCCCCACCATTCCCCGAGAGCAACAGGTGGCGAATCAAAGCTTCCCTGGTATTTCATGGCTGGTTTCCTCAATGTCTTGGAAATAACGGATGGCATTTGCATGCTTTCTGTAGTACCAGCAGATAAGAAGGGGATGGATAGCAACAGGAAGAAGTATTTCCAAAGCATAAACTAACACACAAGTTCTTGCTACCACACATTCTAAATCCATACATGTGGTTTCATCTTTTAAATATTGTTACTCATTCAAACTATGAAATCATAATTAACTATCCTATGGTTAGCAACCTAGCAGAAGCAACAAGGTACAGTAAAGGAATAAAGAACATCTCAAGTTAATGAAGCTATATCATAAAGTTATAAATTTGTAACTCTACATTTATAAATATCCAATGACTACTAATGACTATGTGTTCTTAAATTGTCTCCTTCAGAACATGATTTTATTTTTTAATGTTTTATTTATTTTTTGAAGGAGAGAGAGAGAGAGAGAGACAGAGCATGAGCAGGGGAGGAGCAGAGAGAGAGGGAAACACAGAATTTGAAGCAGGCTCCAGGCTCTATGCTTTGAGCACAGAGCCCAGTGTGGAGCTTGAACCCATGAACCGTGAGATCATGACCTGAGCCGAAGTCGGACGCTCAACCGACTGAGCCACCCAGGCGCCCCAGAACATGACTTCTTTATACTGAGCACCTACTACCTACATTATAAAGAAAGAATACTGCCCACATCCTGAACTAGAGCAAGAAGTCAAAGCTATTAAACCAAAGCCAGAATCTGTGATTTAAATCAAGCAGTGGGTAGTTCCCCGGCAGTACTTGATAATTAAAGAGAAAAGTATCTCTAGTGGAGGATAAAAAGATTTTATCAACTGGTAACTAATTCAGGCTTTAAAAACAAAGGAAAATATCAGCTATACAATCTCAATGGCATACATCTGGCAATGTCCTAGGACCCTAGGAATAAAAGCATTTACTGGAGGTGGCAAATCACCAACACTCTTCCCAATCTGAAAAAATTCAGAACATCTGGACTAGTTCACATACGACTAGGGCAATGCCATGGGATGTTTTTCATGGTGGAAGACAGAAAATGAGTAAGAGGTAATGATAACAATAGTGGTAACTGAAATAGTTTTCTGATTATTTTAGGGGGTAAAGCCCCAGTACCTTTACCCTTACATACTCTTTTCTCTCTGTGACAGTGCCTCATACTCCGCAGAAGGGACAGCTGGATTTTGGTGCAGCGCTGAGGTTCCTGCCACATGAGCTGACATTGACAGCACAGCCCTGCTAACTTAGGAGCCAGTGCTGCAGAAAACCCTGCCCCAGACCTTCCCCAATGCCCCTCCTTTCCAACGCCTTTCCCCTTATTTATAACGCAACCAGGTTCTTTTAAACTAATATTGAGTATAGTTTTCTTAAATTTGTTTAAAAATCTATGACCTTCTGATCATTTGTAAAAAGATTTTTTTTTAATGGACAGGAATTACTAAGTAACTGCCATAAATTAACTCTACAGCAGGAAATCACATATTTAATGAAGTTATTTTGCTAAATACATGCTAATCTGAAAAACACAGTTTTCGAGTCTGTTACTTATACCAAACATACTCATAAAATATATGTGATACCATATGATATCTGGGAACTCAATAATTTAACATGTTTATTCTAAAGCCATATTATCTCATGTACCATACTTCAAACACAACCTTCATCAAACAGTATACATGACCCCCACACTGAAACTAGGATTATTAATTTTAGAATGGTCTAATGCACGCTAAAGATTGATTCAAAATCTATGAAAACAATGTAAGGAAAAATCTTACTTGCATCATGTTACTCTATCAAATGCTTCTAGAATTTAAAAAATACCTAAAACTTTTAATCTTTATTTATGTAATTATGATTATAATTATGATTATTTTACTTTTAAGCTTTAAAAAGCAGATCTTAAAGGAGTAACTACTGCTAAGGCAGTAGAAGGTTAAGCCTTGCCAGTTGCCATGTGAAAAATTTTAAATAATTTTTAAAAAGTATGTTTCTTGACCTTTTTTAAGTAGTTTTAAAACGTAAAACTATGCTTTCAAATTAAGCTTTAAGCAATTATTTCAAAAGATACATACAAAGTTCATGGAAATAGTATATGGGTCAGAATAGTTTAGTAATCGGATTTGTACTTTGCAGTGGGAGTTATTGACAGGAAGTGGAAGCAGAAAACATATTAAAGTGATTATTATAATGAGTGAATTACAAAAACAGCTGCCTCCATGTTCGATTGATGGGGATGTTAAGACTCTGATTCTAGTCAAAATCTGATAGGATGTTAAAAATAAAATTAAAATGTGAAAGTAGACATTCTAGACTTAAAAGAATTCCTATTGGCACTTACATTTTTCTAGGGGCATAGTAGGTTCAACAGTAGAATATACTGTCCAGACATGTTTGCCATATGTCCAGCAATGGCAAATGTTAGCAATATCTGTGTTTAGTTCTCAATTTAAAAAATTTAAGTGAGATGGCTGGAGAGTGTTTAAAGAGAGGCATTATATTTTTAGTTTTCATTTTTTCCTATTTTCCTTTGATTTTTGTGGCTTTCTTAATTACATTTCTATGAAGCTGAGACTGTCAGTGCAGTATTTACCTTTATCCCCGGAAGTCCAGGAAGCCCAGGAAGCCCTGGTTCACCCTACATAGGAAAATCACATAGCATTATAGAACAATAGTCACTCAGTCACAGTATGTGGAGAAAAACATGGTAAATGTTCCTAGCTGAATACTTGCTGCATATATATACATACATAAATGCTGTCTAGTTTCAAGGACTTTGGTGAGATTACAGTTCAGTCAACTCTTGATTCAGGGATTGGTTGACTATTTTGTAGATTTTTCTGGATTTTTCTCTCTTCCTGCCATCTCACTGCTCATTGGCATTTCTACCAGAAGGCAAGCAAGAGAAGTAGAAGGAAAAGGCATTCCTACGTTTTATTATTCCCTGGTAAATGATTTCTTGCGGAAGCTGAGGCTTTTTGCTTAAATGAGGATTATGTACGCATTTGAATAATGCATCCTATTCCAGGGCTCTCTTACCTCAGATAATCAAGAGTTGGCTGTGTGAACAGATGGTCACACCAAAACAATATACATTAAGTCTTGCTCACTTAAAAGTATAGTAAGATTTCTTTTCCATTCCTGAATGATGAGAAGATAAATGCGTGGTTAAGATTATACTTAACTCCAGCCTGTATCTCTAACCATTGTTGAGTCTGGGTAACCCTGCTTAGCAATTTTGGGCTAATGGTACCCTGTGTGCAGCTGTTCCTGAATTCAGGTTTGAGATTAAGTGATACATTTTGTGTGAGCGCACTGGAGTCAAACTAAATCTCATTTTCACAGAATTGTCTACATTATACAGTTATACATTTTGACAGAATTGTCTACAAAGTACAGTGACAAGAGGTTACATTGCTTAGAAAATCTCCTGAATTCCATTAAAGAAGCATAAAGGAAATGCTGGGGAAAATGAAAGTCCATCCTGTATTGGACTGAGATGACTATTATTTGTGGAAACAATATTTGAGGGTAAAAGGCACACACTGTTTCATAATGGTCAGTCAGTGGGATAGACAAAAATACCCAAAGAGATTAGGGCATCAAACTAAGTAAAAGTCGTAAAGAGAGGTACTGCTTTTAATCTAAATGCTTTGACAACCCCATTCCATGGAAAATCTACTAAGAATAACCAGATATTTCATCTTTAACAGTAGTATTTTCATATTACGAAAAGCCATAATGTGCTCTGGTATTATAAAAAAAAAAATGGCTCCACACACTGTTTATTAAGCCGTATGGTTAGACACAGAGGGGACAATGACTTTCCTGATGGTTTAGTTCACGGGAGCTTCAGGAATGCAAAAGAAAAACTACGCCGTTTGAAACTATATAACTGAAATTTTGCACTGTGAACAGTAAGACTAAGATGAGGTTAAGCCAGAGAAGAAAGAATGGTCATTAAGAATTTGATATTCCATTCAAAGAATACTTGTCCAAGTAGATTAAACTATACACAGAAACATTATACATTGGATTTTCTTTTTCCTTTCCCTTTTGCCTTTCAATCAATAAATTTAAGAAGCTTTAATAAATAGGGCTTGCATCCATATTTTACTGAAGATTCTCTTTTACTTAAAAAGTACAAGGCCTTCGAATGCACAGTAAACTGCAGTAGAATATACAACCAATAAAAGTAAACATATTGGTGATAAATCTATAGTTTTGTATTGTTTTAGAAAAGTCCCCTCAAACTCAGGACATCCTATTTGAACCATCTGTGAAAATATATAGTTCCTATCATTGTTTCTATACAAGAGAAATGTCCTCTCCACACACTTCCCTTCCACCATATTAAAAGGATTGTATGTTTACTTAAAAAAAGAGTTTTATATACACATGCATACATAGACACACATCTATGTTTTCTATCAGTGAGAAATGTGTATAAGACATTATGGGATATTTTGTAACGTAGATTGAATACTTACAGAGACTCTGAGCATTTAGCTATTCCCTACATCACATGTGTATGTGTATACATACATATATATATATATATATATATATATATATATTTATATTAGATTATTAAATGAACTTTGTAAAGGACAGATATTTCATGAATTCATATTTCATAGTATTGTATTTTTGTAAATTTGACCTTTCCAAATTTATGTTTATTTACTGTAGCAGTCGACACAATGAAAGATTATAAAACATTTAATGTTACCCTTTGTGGAACATCTCAACATTTTCAGGAAGACTTCTCTTCCTATATGAGTTCCATGAAGGCTTGTCTTCCAGTTAAGACAATTTTTTGTTACCTTCACTCTTGCCTGCTTCTTAGCTCAGGAGCTTCTCTGGGGTGAGGTCTTGGGCATGCACAGCCCAAGGTCAGATGTGGGTCCTAATTAAGAATTGGTTTGTTCTTCCATTTGAAGAATACTTGTCCGAGTAGATTAAAATTTACCCATTATATTTTGGGTTCTTTTTCTTTCTTTCCTTTTGACTCTTTACCCTCCATTAAAAGAGACCCTTGTCTGCTGTTAAATTCGACTCTGCTTTTGCCCCACATTTCTGTTACAGTATATATTTCTAGATATACTTCAACTGGGAGGGTCCCTTCCAATGGGGAATCAAGTATTTTTATCCCTTTAAAGTTAAAAAATAGGGGCGCCTGGGTGGCGCAGTCGGTTAAGCGTCTGACTTCAGCCAGGTCACGATCTCGCGGTCCGTGAGTTCGAGCCCCGCGTCAGGCTCTGGGCTGATGGCTCAGAGCCTGGAGCATGTTTCCGATTCTGTGTCTCCCTCTCTCTCTGCCCCTCCCCCGTTCATGCTCTGTCTCTTTCTGTCCCAAAAATAAATAAACGTTCAAAAAAAAAAAAAAGAAAATTAAAAAAAAGATGAAGTTAAAAAATATATTTTAAAGAGATGCAGAGAAGGTAGAAAAGTAAGAACTATGTGATGAAACACAATACCTATTTTTATAAATCTACACATTCACTTTACAAACAGAAATACACACTCTAACTCATGTATCAATCACACATTTTACTGTTGAATCTCGAAAAGAAAAAAAAAACTATAATGAGACCATTTCTACATTACGAATGTGGATGTAAATAACAAATTTTCATACTGGACAACACCAACAGTGGAAAGCGAATCAATGGGCGTTTCCTTCTGTCCAGAAACCCTACATTTCTGGGAATGTCCCTCATGCAGGAGGTTAAGTACTGAATCCACAGCACAGTTCTCTACTGATGAGGGAAATGCTATGGAAGATCTCTTGAATTGATTCTGTACTCAGTTCTGTTTGTCATTTTCTAATCTAAGTAAGCAGCAAGCATGGGAATACTCTACTTTTAAAGCAATGTTGGGGTAAGTACTGCCAAATCCTGATATTAGACAAAGGAAGTCATAAATATTGTGGGCAAGTGAGATTGCGTCAAAGGGTAGAATCTGGCTTAAATATTGATGAAAAAGATGCTGTGCATTTCAGGGCACATACTCATTCAAATAGGTTGTAAGCTTTTAATGAATCCACCCCTTCTCTTGATATAATTTAAAGCAGATTTTTAATGAAATACGAAGGAAATCCAATGTTTCCATATGTAAGCCTATAAACTTCCAGGAATGAATCTAAACCTGTATTTCTAAATAATCATGAGAAGGCAATATTTTATTAAAAAATTGAAAATCATTTTAGATCTTCCACTCTGAAAACAGTGGGACCTATACAAGATTATAGCAGATTTGTTTCAGTTTTTGTTAAAAAGACATAATAGTCTTGTAGGCATTTCTTTTAGTATATCAGATTTAGAGAGTAATTTAAATTTAGCCTTTAAATTTTAAATACTAAGGAATCTAAAATTAGATCATCTGAGAAGATTATTTGCTTTTTCAAACCAAAGCAGACCATAGATCTCTGATGATAGCACTAATTTCAAATTTCTTACATAAAGAATCAGTAGGAAATCTTAGGGATTAAACAGAAAATTTCGCAGAGTTCTGCTGGGCCCTTTGAAAAAGTCTGAACTGTACTTGAAACTGGGCCTGAGGAATCATTGCTCTTAGAGCCTGTGTTTCAAAGAAAACTCTATTTTTAAAAATTTTAAAAGAACATGAAAGACCTTCTCAAAAATTACTTTCATCGTTAAGTCTTTAAAGAAAAGCAATGATCTTCTTCTCAATGACTTCTAGAGTGTGGGGACATTATTTTTTTCATGTCTTAAGGTTCCAAACTCCTATAATGAGATTTATTCTCTGTTTTCCTTTATACCAATGAGGTAAATTCTATGTCTCTAATCACATTTTTTCTACAACATCAACTATTGCTAGATAAACGCAGAGTCGTGATCTTAAGAGCTTTAACCTAATGTGGAATTCACATTTACTTGTTAGCTACAATACATCTGTTATCTAAAATCTAACCACATTGGGCACTGATATCCAGATGCTCAGACAATAAACTGCTAACAGTTGTTTCCTGCCTCAGACCCAAATGAGAATATGAATGCAAAAAATAATCATTGCATATCCTCTAATTGATCACTGAAGTGAAGCACAAATGATTAAAAAAAAATCACGTATGTATCTGTAGATTGGTTAAAGTACTTGGCTAGTGTCTCCAATTAAAATTTAGTTTATTAACAAATCTGGTTTGTATAACATAACATTCATTGCATAGGTAGATATGATTCACATAAAAATTACCGCAGATTATCAGTAAGGAAGTATTTGAAATGAAAAGAAAAGGAATATAAGAAACTATCATTCCCTACTGAAACAGTTTAGTAAATATTCATTTCTTCTCATGAATGATAGAAACATGCAGAGTATCTTTAAACATGCAAGATAAGTTGTTGGCATTCCAACCCAACTGATCTTTGTTAGCCTCAAACAGCTGAGTATATGCAGATGTTAGTTAATAAAGCATCTTTTTACATGTACACAGTGTTTCATATTTGGCTATGGTCAGCATCAGTCCTTTTAAAATGCAGAACAATCAATAACACTCTGCATGCAAAGCATGAAAATTGTATCATTTTGCAATAATTGCTTTCATTTTACACAGTGGGTAGTAGATATAAAATGGCAAATATGAGACAAAGAACACACTAGAATAAAGATGTTACCTTTTGCCCTGGACGACCAGATTCTCCAGGTTCCCCCTGACCAAAGAAAACCAAAGATGAAAAAAAAAAAAAAAAAAAAAAAAAAAAAACAGTCTTAAGACAATTTTCCAAAACCTCAGGCCTCTGGACACTTTCACAGAGACAGCCTAGTCTCCTTGATCATATGTGTTTCATTCACTTTATTCTATTACTCTATATCTCACTAGAGACAGGAACTTTTTTTTCTTTTTTTTTTTTTTGCTGCGGACATAACTAAAGCTCACATATGAATCCACATTTCCATAAAAACCAATCACAGAGACAAGTGAAGGCAAGACCTCTTATTTAAGCCTTTACCAGATTTCTAGTAGATACTCCCTGTTGTGTTTGAAAGCTGATTATTGAAGAAGAATAAAAACAGTTATAACCATCAAACTTGGAACAAAAGAAGAGAAAGCAGAGACTTATAAAATTCAACACTGTAACTCCTGGGGTATAAACACTCACAAGGCTATAGTTACCTTAATTCCTGCCGCAGATGATCCAGGGTCACCCTAAAACAAAACCCGTGGGAGATTATTCCACAAGTTATGAGAATAGGAAACATACAAACACACAGAAAACCATCTCGACATGGCACTCAAAGGGAGCCCCATGACTAACGGGCCTGACTATGCTCCATAAAATGATATCAACATATCAGCTGTTAAGATGTAAACAATTTCCAAGGTAAACAATGCACTTTCTAAAAACATGGGTTTATTTTGAAAGCAAAATACTTAACGACTATATTCCTTAAAGTAAATATAAATATACAAATATGTATCTCTTCCCTTGATACAGTGCTAAAAGTGTGTTCTGAAGTAGTAAATTATAATTTGGAGACCTGGAACTTTGGTTTTCTCTATTTCTGGAATTTATTAATGTCACGGGCTATCAGTTACTGGGAGTTCCTTGACCCTCTGGGTCTTCAGAAAGTCAGGGTTCAACAGATGAAGTCAAAGGGTTAATGATGTCGAGCTGGAAAAAGCCACGTAGCAGGTCAGTTTGTTTTCCTCATGAAGCACAGTCACAGTTATGACCGGCACATTTTCTCTAGCTTTACATTTATTTCATTGTGATGCAGTCACCAGAAAATTACAGGATGATGGATGACTCATGGGTGGCAGGGACACATGTACGATCTGAGAGAAAATCTTGAGATAGAATCTGGTTTTCTAAAAGGCAATGTATTCCTTTGGGAATTCACAGAGGGTGACTACATTTTCAAAGCAAATATGCTATAAAATAAGCAGAGAGATTAGTAGAAAAGAATAGGGAGGTTAGTTAAGAATGTTGCTTATTTCTGAAATGAAGCCAGCAATGGGCCTAGATTTTTAAGCTCCTTCTAGCCCCTTGTCCCGTGAACATGCTACAAGGCAAAACAGGGAGAAAACTTAGCCATTTGAGACTGTCAAGAAGATAGGAACAGCCATAAGGAGGAAGGCACATACTTGGATTTCCTCAGCTGTCACATCTGTGCAAGTGCTCAAGGAACTCCAGGGGTCTAGTTCCTTGTTCTGGATTTAGGAAGCTCCTCATCGCTCTCTTTCAGAGACAGAGATGAGGCCTCAGGCCTCTGTGCCTTGAGCACTTGTCCCCCTCTCTGAATCCCTTCCCCCTCTGCAGGCTGGCATCTTCTCTCTCTTGAGGTCTTGGCTTAAGTGGCTCTGCCTCAAAGAACCTTTCACCAACCAACTTAAGATTTATGCCCCTTTCACCCACATCTTACTGTTCACACTGAGCTCTGTTCATGTCCTGCATAGCTCACTCCATAATTACGTACTTATTGTCTGTCCCTTCGTTAGACAATCAGCCACATGGAGGCAGATTCAGTGTCAATTTTTATTCAGTGCCTAGCCCATAGTATATGCTCAATACATATATGATGAATAAATGAACAAATCTCAAAGAGAATGTTTTTTTTTTTTTTTTTAATTTTTTTTTCAACGTTTTTTATTTATTTTTGGGACAGAGAGAGACAGAGCATGAACGGGGGAGGGGCAGAGAGAGAGGGAGACACAGAATCGGAAACAGGCTCCAGGCTCCGAGCCATCAGCCCAGAGCCCGACGCGGGGCTCGAACTCACGAACCGCGAGATCGTGACCTGGCTGAAGTCGGACGCTTAATCGACTGCGCCACCCAGGCGCCCCAAAGAGAATGTTTTAAATAAGTCAGCAGTCAAGGATCAAAATGAAAAATTGGCGCCTGGGTGGCTCAGTAGGTTAAGTGTCCAACTCATGGTCTGTGCGATTAAGCCCTGTGCGGGGCTCTGTGCTGAGTGTGGAGCCTGCTTGGGATTCTCTCTCTCCCTCTCTCTCTGCCCCTCCCCTGCTTGTGCTCTTTATCGCTCTCAAAAAAATAAATAAACTTAAAAAAATGAAAAAAATTTAGGAAGGAAAACAAGCTTAGGAAGAAGAAGGGAATAATAAATTAGCTTACTGAGGAAACTGATATATATGTGATCCTCTGTGATGTCTGTAATTGTTTTAACCCAAGGAAAAATTAAAACATGACAAAACATAAGAAAAGGACCTTAATTACTATATTATACTGATTTCTCTTTCTAATCATTAACATTCGATTGAGTTCCAAATGGGAAGTGAAATAAATGTGGCTAATAAAATAATACTTATTTCTATTTCTACTAAATCAAATCTGAAAGCCATCAACACCAATGAATCAGGTTTGTAATAGTTTGCACAATAAGACCTTTGTATTCCTAAAAGCAATTTTGACTTTGCTAAGTCCCGTCCCTCATCTCATTTATACCTCATAAAACTCTGATGAGATAGGGCAGATATTACTATTTTCATTTAATAGATAAGGACATTGAAGCAACAAGAGGATAAGTGAATTTTGGACTTCCTATATTCCATTGCCATGTTCTTTTTATTAGAATAAGAATTATCGGTTTATTTCATTTTGACAACAGGGCATAAAGGTTCCAGTAAACTTGTAAATAAAAGGAAGCTGCTTGTATTAACTGCAGTTTAAAACCTTTTATTTTTAGTGTCTTAGTGGAAAGTGTCTGGATAATCCACAAATGAGAATAAGGACTAGATTTAGTTCTCATAGGAAGTAGATGGAAAGAAAAGGACAGTTTCCTGAAAGGCTGATTTATTTGTGGAAATTGGAGCAGTTTCATTTGATGGGGGACTATGAGTGATATTTTAATTTTCTTTTAAAAACTTAGACTGTGAAATCTTGAGGAATTTTTCTAACTTTTAAGTGGCAAGACAACTGCTGAAAGCCAGTCATAAGTTGAACATTTTAAAGGATAATGCTGCAGGGAGTGGAAATAAAACAGTCAGTGTTCATAATCCTCATTTCTGCAAAAGTGAGAGCAAACGCAGGATTACAGTAGGAAAACCCAACTATGTCTTTTTTTTTTCAATATATGAAGTTTATTGTCAAATTGGTTTCCATACAACACCCAGTGCTCATCCCAAAAGGTGCCCTCCTCAATACCCTCCCACCCCCCTCAGTTTGTTCTCAGTTTTTAAGAGTCTCTTATGCTTTGGCTCTCTTCCACTCCCAAGTATGTCTTAAGTAGAGTCTTAGCTTCATAAGTCAGCTGGTCTGGAAACCCAAGTTTTAACAGGGTAAGTCACCAATGGGAAAATTCTTTGAGGAGACACTTGAGATAAATAGATTGGGCTTTACCATTGATCATTCAAACACAAAGAGCTTCTGGTTTTGGTCATGCTAATTTTCAAATACAATAGTTGGTATATAACTTTATGCATGTGTTAATAAAGTCTATGTGGATAAATGAAGTGAATATGGTGACATTTCTGTCATTCATTAATTCATTCTGTAAATGTTTGTTGAGCACCCATTATGTGCCAGCTGTTTGCAGGGATGCGAGGAGCTGGGTGAAACAGGAAGCAATGCAGTTACAATCCCTGCCCTTGACCTGTGCTCATGATAATCACATACCAATATATGTACACAAAAATGTTATTGGTTGAAAGCATGAAAAATACTTTCCTTTTTTTTCTTTTTTTTTAAATCTGGGGTAGGAAGAGATTCTCATGTTTAGGATATTCTGTGCCCCTTATATGCCAGAAGACATGATAAACAAATGCTTGTCACAGGAAAGAGATCTACCATTCCACAAAAATAAAAAACAGTTGAAAGGAAAAAAAAAATTTTTAAAGGTTGTTTATTCAATAAATATTTATTATCTTACAACTATATGCCAGGAACATGGATTGATGCTGGGAATAATTTGGCATCATATAGTTTTTTGTTTATTTATTTGTTTTTCCTTCTCCAATGAGCCGGATGTCCAATTAAAAAAGGAATTATAATAAATCCCAATAACAGTTATGAAAGGGACTTTAAAGAGTGCTATGGGAGCACAGAGTAGGTAGCCTAAGCAATCTGGGGGAGACTGAAAGGCTGCCTTAGGGAAATGATTTATAAATTAAGGTCTCAGTGGACTGAAGAATAGAACATGGAGGAGGGAGTGGACAGAGAGTGTTGTAAGGTGAGAGAACCATATGTGCCAAGTTAGAGAGGGCCCTGCATTGACCCGGGATGGTGCAATGTGGAGGTGAGTGGGGGTGGGGGCCCTCTTAGACAGGCCTTCACATGTGATTTTAAGAAAAGATAATTTGATTGGTAGCTCCAAATATGGGCGTGGATTCTGGAAAGGCTCAGAGGATGCAAATCAAAGATGCTATGTGGGCATAAACTAAGAAGACAGTGTGTTTACAGGAATGGAGACTGAGGGAGCAGTGAAAATGAAGGCACAGAGAGGCTGTTGCTAGACAGTGAAGGTAGAGCTTCTGAATCTGCAGACTGAATTGTGAGTAATAGAGTGGCATGGTCAAACCATTCAGCGTGCTGCACAGACACCTACTTTCAAGTTGACCAAAAGAGATAACAAATCCATTTCTGCATTTGTTGGGTGGCATTAACACTCCAAAGAGCAGAACATAACCTTTGCATAGTCACTCCACACATGACTGAAATCATTCTCTGGCATGACACTCTCAAGCCTAGAGTGCACGGCAGTTGCTGGCCACGGACAAAACCCAGCCTAGTGGTTTTTACAGTTCCACAGCATTTCCAGATGACCAGTCTGGAAAGGTTTAGATTGCTTTACCATCCAAAGGCACTGAGTTGGATCAAAAGGAAAAAAAAAAAAATCCTATTAAAATGAATCAGTCAATGATGTAATTTACTACATCAATGGCAAAAAAAAAAAAAAAAAGGCATTTTTTGATTTTACATCTAGAACTTGGTACATGATGAATGAGTTTCACATACTGAACCCAAAGGCCATGAGAAGACTGTTTCCAACATACTGGAAACAAATTATATGACAGAAGCAGGAAATGTTTTAAAAAAACACATCAAAAATTATATTCCAATTACAGCATTCTCGGGATGAATGCTAGAGGTCAGATTACATATTATACGTTACACATTCCTATTTACAATCCCCTGTTTAGACCTATTGAAAGTTTATAGAAATGATTTCCGTTTCAACTGAAGGATTTCTTGTACTTAATTTCAGTTGACTAGTAAAACGTCTTGATAAAAAAGAAAACAACCAGTCTAGTTGATTTCAATTTCCATGTGGTAAGAAAGCTAACATTTATTGAGAGTTTACTATGTGTGAGTCAATATGGTAAATGATTTGCATTAATAGAAAACAGTATTCCTTTGAGATGAACTTGGAATTTTCAAAGAAAAAGGTTACTTTACTACTGGAAAATTAAATGTTAAAAATGTGTGATTAAAGAAACAATTATTGGTCTACATTCTAAAAATGAAGCTTTAAATGCAACTTCTAAAAGCATAAAATTCTCTACATAAATCCACATAGGTATTGTTCAGACTTGGCATAAACTTTTTTCACTCAAAAAAAACTGCTCTCTGTTTAGAAGATTTCCTTTCTTTAAGCAGAGACTCGTAACGAAGGCCTGTGGGCCAGTTCCAGTTTTGTGTGGCCCATGTGCTAAGAATGGTTTTTACATTTTTACATGGTTAAGAAAAAAATGAAAAGAACAATATTTCATGACACATGAAAATTACATGAAATTAAAATTTCAGTGTCCAGAAATAAAGTTTTATGGGAACACAGCCATACTCATTTGTGTACATATTGTTTATGCTTGCTGTCACACTGTCAGGACAGAGTTAAGTAGTGTGACAGAGACCACAAAGCCCAGAAAACCTAAAATATTTATATTCTGGCCCTTTACAGGAAAGGCTTGATGACCTCTGGTTTTGAGTATAAACAAAAAAGTTAAATATAATATCCAGGTTTATATTTCTGGGGGTTGAAACGCTGACTTTGAGAGTCATCAAGGTATATCATTGGTCTTATTAAGTATTAAACATATTCATGCCATATTTTATTGCCGCATGATAATTAAATTTGACAGGTATATAAAAGGGGTCTATAGCAGTGCTTCTCAACTAGAAGTGATTTTGTCCCTCAGGGACATTTGGCAATGTCTAGAGATAGGTTTGGTTGCCACAACTACTGGTATCTAGTGGGCACAGGCCAGGAATGCTGTTAAATATCTAACGCCCCCCCACGAGAAAGAATTATCTAGCCCAACATGTCAATAATGCTGAAGGTGAGAAACCTTGGTCTATAAGAAACTGAGGGTCGACTCTAATTTCTGGACTGCTCCTTGAACACAAACATAATTGCTACTTGGTGACATTAATTCATTCCTACCATCATCCATGCCATATTTATATTAATATTTATAAGAATGAGAAAGATAAATTTCTCTTTATTTTATGAGTATGTTTTTATGACTAACCATTAACCATCTGCACTGTAATAATTTTCAAAGTGAAATTTATTTCACTTTGAAAATTTATTTATTTCACACATTTATTCTCCAATGTGAGCCTAAATGAATAAATCTTTTTTTAATCATTCAATTACTTTGCTTGATTTTAATTAAAATCTGACCATTTTATTTTCAGTTTCTTAAAAGTTCTTTTCTTAATTCTTAGCATACAGCACAAGTGAAATAAAAGGCCCTTCCTATGTCAGAGATGTCTATAAAGTATGAATCCAAGCAAAAGCTATAATGATAGACGGGGAGAGCAGTATGAAAAGAGGATGGAAGATGAACCACAAGACCACTGTAATATAAACACTAATAATGGTTTAAAAGATGAAAAAAGTGAATGAGAAGGCTGACAAAATATCTGAATTTAGTAGATTTCAAGTTGAGGCAAATTTTCAAGACTGCATTAGAGGCTGTAATCAAATGACATTTGCTTTCAAACTTTTAAATCTCATCCCAATCCTGTGACATGTTCTCTAACCAAATTGCAACAAATGGAATCACTTTAGAAACTTTATTTTATTTAAAAACATCTTTTTAATGTTTATTTATTATTAAGAAACAGAGACGCGGAGCATGAGCATGGGAGGGACAGAGAGAAGGGGAGACACAAAATCCAAAGCAGGCTCCAGGCTCTGAGCTGTCAGCACAGAACCTGACATGGGGCTCGAACTCACAAACCGTAAGATCATGACCTGAGACAAAGTCGGATGCTTAACCAACTGAGCCACCCAGGCGCCCCTAGAAACTGTATTTTTATATCTCTGAATATCAAGGGAGTAGTGCCTCATTTACACATGAATAAATGGTTTTATTCCATGGAAGCCATATTACTAGAAACCTAGCTATACATTATCTAGAATTTGTGACATCCCATTTTATTTTAAAAATATTTATGGGGTGCCTGGGTGACTCAGTCAGTTAAGCATCCGACTTTGGCTCAGGTCATGATCTCAGAGTTTGTGGGTTTGAGCCCCGCATCGGGCTATGGGCTGACAGCTCAGAGCCTGGAGCCTGCTTCCGATTTCGTCTCTCCCTCTCTCTCTGCCCCTCCCCTGCTTGCAGTCTGCCTCTCTCTCTTTCTCAAACATAAATAAATATTAAAAAAAATTTTTTTAATATTTAAATTTGTAGCTAAGAGCTTGTGGAATGATCATCTTTATAAATTGGATATTTAAATGTTTTCCAAACTCATAGAATTATCTCTCACCTTACCATATTAAGCTATCAGTCTCTTTCCTCACTCAAAATCTTCTGTTTTCACATACATGGAATAGATTTCTTGCTCATACACATACCCTTTCATATTTCACAAACTGTACCTTTTCGCCTGTGTCACCTTTGGGGCCACTCTCTCCAGCATCTCCCTAAGGGGGGAAAACGGGATATATGTTAAATATATTGGTGACATTACACACAGGATAGTTTTCATTATTTTAAGCTTGCTTTCATATGCACTATATATTAAAATCTCTTGAGAATATTCTGTAGAACTGACACATTTTGACTTAAGCAGTTGCCTGATACCAACTGGTCCACGTAAAATTTATTGCAATGAACACAGCTGAACTGTTTCCAACTACTCTATGATATCAACAGAAAGCAGTACTTTCTCTGACTTCTAATAGCTCATGCTGGTTCTTAAAGCCTCCTTCACTCTATCTCTTTTCTCCTCTACTCAAAGAGCCACTGTAAGAAAGCCTTTTTCCTGACCATTCCCTCAATATGCCACATGCCTTACCACCTCTGTCTCCTTCCTCCTGCCATTCCTGCCACCTGGGTTCCTGCCCTCCCCTTTCCCTTCTCTCTGTGTAAATCCTACTCTGTCTTCAGGTTCAGCTCAAGTCAAATCTCCAAAGCTTCAAAATGCATGACACACCCCTCAAAACCTGTGGACAGATTATTTTATCTGCACTTCTGTGTTTTGCATTTGTGAAATGAATGTTTTCGATTTTATTTGAAAACTCTCTCTTTTATAATTACAATAAAATAAATTGGAGACTTTATGCTTTCTTGCTTATTTTTGAGATTTCCTGTGCTTCTTCCCTCACTGACATCTCCTTTCCACCACGAAGCAATGCATTAGAAGAAAAAAAGAGTCCTTCACTCATTATCCATGCTTTGATTCCTTCAATGCCGAATTCTTTAATTTAAGTCTTACAGCATGTTATAGTGGAAACATCATGGACGTTGGCGCCAGAAAGACTGAGCCCAGCTCCAGCACCTACCGGGCAAATGAAATTCTCCCTACATCACGTTTCACATGTGTAACGACGTAAGGGCAAGAATGCTTTATGGGATTAGAAGAAATAAACAATATGCTGTGTGTAAAGCAACTAGGACAGTAGGGGACACACCATGAGCTGCTAATGATAGCCGTTAGCAATAACAATGCATTATTGTTGCTAGATTCCACAGGCTGGAATGCCCTTTTGTTTAGCTTCATATTAGGTCACTTTTCCATCATTGAAAAGTTTCCTTTAAATAAGAGGTAAGTATTGATGATGGTTTCCAAGGGAGAGAGAAGAGATGTAGGGGAGAGAGACTTTTACTTTTTTCTCTCCATTTTCTTTTCTTGTTTCAAACATGTATGAAGCTAACTGCTCAGGCATTTGTCTGTGGTGCCGGACACCCCACACGGGCCCTCGAGCCGGAACCCCTCTATCTGACGAATCCCCGGAACGGCGCTGGCTCTCCTTCTTTTCCCTCCTTAATTTCTACACAACAGAGTCATCTGATGATTAATTAATTTCAAGTTAATTACAATAAACTGGTTGGATGCCAAATAAACGTACTGATAACCTATTATGAGAGACCTTTGATAGGCAGCCTACTAGCATACTTTTAAAAAGATTGCATGGCAATCCCTTTATTAAAAAGCAAAACAGACACAACAAACTTTCTTATTAGGAAGAATGGCTCCGAGTGGTCATGAAATGAAGGGGTCTGAGTGAGTTCTCCCCTCTGGTTTGCTCTCCTTCCATTTAAATAAATCTCTTTTTAATTTTTGTTTTACAGTGCCAAATAATACAGTTATAGTCAAGAAGTTTGTTGGATCTTTAGATGTACTAACTACTTTGGTGATTAGAGGTGATAGTATTAATTCGTCAGAAATACCGGATCAGATGTAGTATCTTGGTAGCTTCCTACGCAGACAGCACATTTCTCAAACACTATTAAAGTAAATAGCATGAAAACCAGGAAAATTAGCACCACAATATGCATGGGGAGTCTAAAAATAATCAGGACGCCCGCAAAAGTAGTCAGGAAGGACGACTGTGAGAAATTTAACATATGGCATTCTTCTCCTTTTGTTTCTCTTTTTTATTTTTTATAGGAATTCTTTGTGGGGCAATTCCCAGTATATTTGTTGCAGGTAAACATCTGTATCCCCTTAACTTAGTGACCTAAGAAGCAGTAGGGAGAGATGTGGATGCTTAGAAAAGTATTGGAGTGGTGTTAGCAAGTAGGCAAAACAAATGTTGCAGGCCTAGGGATTTTTGAAAACCATTTAAAAGCTTGACATAGAATGTTTAAATTTGCTCCCTTTCCTTCCATTTCTTTAAACGATTTTACCCAAATCTCTGTCCAACCATAAGAACTACACTATTCTCTCCTTCTACTAATTAACAGTTTGACAAGAACAGTGGTTGTTATGTCTATCTTTATGTATCTATATCTATTGCTACCTAGCCATCCATACTTAAATAAGTTCGGTTTAGTCTCTCTTTAGGGAGGAAAAAAGATAATTACAGGCAGAATCATTCTCACCTTTTCTCCTCGATCTCCAGGTTCTCCCTGAGCAAAAGAACAAAGATTGAGTGACACATTAAATTATAAAACACCCAATTAAACAACACCAAACAAATTGAGATATTGAATATACTAAGCAAATTATATGTGACATTTTCTATTTTGGCAATATAGAATTGCTGTATTGAAAACAAATAGTAAGATGAGTTCCTTGAAGAATTGGGCATGGATATCAATATCAAATGTAATCTTAATTCTTTGTTTTTAAAGGACTAAAGAAAGATATTTAAGATTATCTTCCAGAAGCCAGCTTTGGGGGCATTAAGACCAGTGTGGTGGCAATTTAATGTCTTGAGCGGCTTCTTCGTTTTCAAGTTTTAACCTGCCCAAACTCAGAATCAATAAGGGGAGCCAACACATCCTTTCGTGGTCTTCTGCTCAAAGGAGCCCCCAGTGTCTGGATTATTGCAGGGGTCTAGGGTCTGTGTAGTTCCCCAATCTATCTTCTTCAAACGTGATCATAAACACAGTCCTAAACTTGGACCTCCTCACGGTGTCATGAACTCCCTTTAACCTGCTGGTAACTAGCATGATCCAAATCAGGAGTATTTTAGGAGGAGTTGGTACCTTCAGGAAAACTACTAGAATGGAGCAGAGTTGAAGTGAGTTCAGGAGAATGTCTTTATTCAAAATTATTTCCTGGACAGTATGAGGACTAAAATGCTAAATTGTGCTTTGAAGAGAATCCTTATTTTTACTTTACCCAGGAAGGCATAGGTGATGGAGTGGGAAAATTCTAAAATAAATCATACACATTATGATAATATTCCTCTTATGAAAAAAGCATCAGTAAATTTTGCCATCAGATAAAACTGCATTAAAAAATGGTTTCAGGTGATTATTGTGTATTTTCTAAACTAAAAGCCACTCGAAATCAATTTAGAGGCAAGACTCTTCTCATTTGCTGGGACTCAGCCTGACCCTTTGGCTTTCCAGATTTCTGGCCACCTTTCACTGCTCAACATCCATCCTGATGGTTGCTAGGCAACAGAAGAACAGTACTGAGAACGTGCATTAAGCATTAACTCTTATCATTTGGCTTTTTAGCATGAAGCAAGAAAGGGGAGAAGACAGGAGAATGGCTGTAGTCCCAGAAGGAATATTTGCTGCAAGACAAAGGACAGGTCTATAAATTTTAGGTCTGTCCTAGGCGCCTGTCAATAGCAATGTGATCTGTAAAATCAGCTGACAGGCATCTGTGGGTACGGATACACACCAGCACAGCTGACGGGATTAGACATTAGTTATGTACTTCAAGGGATGCTCACTCATCAAAGGATTTGGGATTTGTCTGCCTGTTTGGTTTAAACTGAACTGTCACCAATCGTTTTATATTTAACAGATTCATTTGTTCTTCAAAAAACAAAGAAAATTTTCAACCCCCCAAAATCCTCATTACATTTTTTCCCCATTTAGTAATTCAGACTACATCCATTTTAAAATTTCAAACGTGTCACATCGTGGGGTGCCTGGCTGGCTCAGTCAGTGGAGCGTGTGACTCTTGATCTCAGGATTGTTGAATTTGAGCCCCATGTCGGGTGTAGAGATTACTTAAAAAAAATAAAAATCTCAAAAAACTCTCACACATGCCACATCTTTATTCTACTTTTTGTTTGATTAACTGGTTATGTTCTGTAAGTGTTGGAGGTGACCAAATATTGAAGAAAGGCCACAGTATCACTGTGAAATCATCTTTAGTAAGCCTTGTAAATATTATGCACACTTTAGGCAGTATGGACATGGCCTACATTTTAATATGCTCACTAAATAGCAAAATGACAACAGGCATATTTGAAACACGGGCTTCTTCTCATGTTATTGAAGTATCTCAGAATAAAGATTCTGACAATCTTATTCTATTTGTTTTTCTTCATTTTTAATGGTAATGAGAGTCACAAACATAATTTAGTCACTAGTCACAAAGTTCTATACTGCAGCATATTTTACTATTGACAAATATTCCATCCAAGTAAAATCAGTGGGATATTAAAAAAAAAAAGTTCCAGTTTACAGTTGAATGAAAACTCATGTCTCAAATGATTCTGCTTGGTTTTATTTGTACTAACCTTTGGCCCTGGTATTCCGTTTTGTCCTACTGTTCCAGGCAACCCAGGCTCACCCTCATAATAAAAAATAGATACTATTAAATAAAATAGACAAAATCCATACATTATATAGATCAGTAAAGGATATAGCTATCCAGCAGTGCTCTAGAAGTAGGGAGAAAAAAAAGTGACTACTAATGTAAATACAAGTTAGCTCATTTGGTCCAAAATTCTCTGTGCTCAGGACCCAGAATAAAACATGTTAATTTCCTTGGTTCAGTCTTTTCTTCACTAAGAAAGCTGAAGCAACTTACCAACGGAAATGAGTATCTAGCATGATGTTGGGTACCTTGTAGGCAATAAATAAACATTTGTGGAATGAGTTAAAGATATATGAAAACATAATCTCTCCTGATGGAGAACTTTTAAGTGGTTCATCAGCTCAGAAACATAAAAACGAAATTATTATGAGACTTAATCAGTCTAAAGCTGAATGCACACACACATCCTTGAACACCTGCAAAATTAGACACATTTGACACAGAGTGAAAAGTAAAAATGGTTTTGGTTTCTCAATTTCACTGTAAAAAATAATTAGAATAAAACATTTAGAACTGTGGTTCTCATTGTCATATTGAGTAATAAATAGGCATTTGGGAAAAAGATGGTGGTTACTAGGTCAGAAAAGTTTCCCCTTTTAGAAATAAGAGGTTGTAGGGGTGCCTGGATGGCTCAGTTGGTTGAGCGTTTGACTTTGGCTCAGGTCATGATCTTTGCAGTTTGTGAGTTCAAGCCCTGCATCAGGCTCCACACTGTCAGCTGACACTGCGAAGCCTGCTTGGGATTCTCTTCCTCTCTCCAAATAAATAAATAAACTTAAAAGAAATTTTTTTAAATAAAAAAAAGAAAAAGAAAGAAGAGGTTGTCTACCAGTTTCATGGGCTCTGAACCAGCAACTGCTTTCTAAAGAGGACAAGTCCATAAAATGCCCAGAAGCAAAGGTAAGATACTCTGGGTCTCAATGCTTCCATGTGGCTCAAAGTAAGATCAACTAGAATTTCATTTTCACTTACAACCATTCCCAAAGCTCTTTACTGTGTGCTCCAACAATGGGATAGCTTTCTTCTTTCCACTGAAGGTAGTAAAGTTGTTACTTGATTTAAAAACAACAACAACAACAACACTATTTTTAGAGCAGTTTTAAGTTCCCTGCAGACTTAGTTGATTTTTAAGTGAGTTTTCTATGGCACCTGGAGAGCAGAATTTGTGCCATTTTTGTATTTGTGCTCTCAGCTTCACAAACATGTACATTAGTAATAATAGTACCATTTTAAGTGCCAGGAATTTTACATTTATCAACTTATTCTCACAAATTTCTATGAGGTAAGTACTACCTTATCTCTATGAAACAGATGAAGAAACTAAGGCACAGAGAGGTTAAGTAACTTCTAGATTTACACAACTGTAGCCAAGATTTGAACTCAAATGATCTAGCTTAAGAGGTTGTGCTCTTAATACGATGCATTCCTGAATGAATGAAAGTATTTAGAAATTGGGAGAGGATGCAAAGGAGTATTTCTATCCTCATGATCATTGGTTTATATTCCTCAGTTATAAATGATCTTACAGAATGTATAGAAACCTGACTTAACTATAACTTCTATAAAGATGAGTTGTGTAAACCTCCCAGATAAACTAATAATAGGAAGCCTATTTATCCTTTTAGAAGAGCAAAAAATATTTTACTAAAGTCATAACTTCCTGGAAGAACTTCTGCTTTGTATATAAAGTTACAATATAATTGTAACTCTTGCACTTTCCTTGGATAAATGGCAAAAATGTTGACAGAAGAGCAATGACCATTATAGGAAAATCTTGACTGGTTATTTGTACGTGGCAAAGAGTAAGAACTTGGAAATAAAATACACCCTGAAAGAGGACTATCATTTACTATGTAACAGAAGATGAGTTATCAAGTCTGCTTTCTTCAAAGAATTGACAACAGGATGCACTAATACCATAACTCATGGTTTAATGCAAATAAGAGAAGCTGCCAGGAAACAATATGAACTTTGTTTAGCCTTTCAAAGAATAACCACGGTAGCCAGAATAATAATAAAAAAAAGTAGTTAAGCCCCTGGAACTGAACAAAACACATGCTGAGATTTTTGAAGCAAGGAAGAGAGATGTTGCTTAGGTATCTGCTTAACATCCTCCTTAACATATGAACACTGAGGGACTAAAACTTGATCTCTTTTTAAAAATTTTATATATTGTTAAAATAATAATGCACCTATAATTCCATCACGCTATGCACCCAATTCAATCAAAATTGTTTTCATTTTGTCCTGTTTCCTTCCAGTCTTTTTCATTTATGCTTACATATTTTCAAGCATTTGTAAGCTTATTACATGGTTTGATGTTCTTATTTTTTTTATTATTTAATACCACATATTTGTTTTCACATAGTATTCATGATTGTCTTATGAACAGTTTATCATCCATCAAAGTCAGGTGCGATCATATGTTTGATCTGTCCCAAATAGTTGAATACTTAGGTTGTTTCTAATTTTTGTTATTAAAGATAAACTAAAACAAACACCTCTATAAATATGTCTGAGCTGTCAGCAAAGAGCTGGATGTGAGGCTCGAGCCCGCAAACCGTGAGATCATGACCGGAGCTGAAGTCAGACACTTAACCGACTGAGCCACCTAGGCACCCCTGTATCTCTCTATTTCTGAATGCATTTCACAAATACTGAAGGACATTCCAAAGAGAGTGATAACAAAAACCAGAAGCTAACATCTTAACTTCAGGTAGGATGATAAAGTTTTCTCTATTATATTTTAAATTCTAAAGCTATTCCCAATGTATTACTCCCAAATGACAACATGTGTATTTGAGCTAAAAGTTGGGTTCAACTTTTATGAAAGTTTTATACAACTTTTATGAAAGCTCGCTTGCTACTTTTTCTTTCTTTCTTCCTTCCTTCCCTTCTCTCTCTCACTCTCTCTCAAACCAATGCTCTTTATAACCCTAATGTAAGACATCACTCAAGACTCCTACGATTATTTCAGGTGCTGCTAATCAGGGTCAACTCAAAAGAATACTGAAAGAAAGGAATGCAGTTGTCTTATGAGACTGAGTGTTAAAGGGAAGTAGGTCATTTAGTGATAATATTGCTTACCTGATGGCAATTGTTTTCTATTCTGGCAATGGGAATTTACAATGAGCTGTAGCTTAAAATTTTCAGCATAATATAATTTTACATTCACTTGTCAAAACTGATTTTGTTTAAGTACTGCATTGTCAAAAAGAACTCATCCAAACAGAAGAGGAAAATAACTACAAAGAATGTGGACCAGTAATGGGTGGAAAGAATTATTCTGATCAGAACATGGCATTGGTCTTTTTTTTTTTTTTTTTTTTTTTTTTTTTTTTTTCTGGGATTTTTAGCTCTTCCTCAGGCTTATTTTTTTAATTTATTTTTTAACTTTTTTATTTGAGTACAGTCAACACACAACATCATATTAGTTTCAGATGTACAACATAGTCATTCAACTTCTCTATAGGTCATGCTATGCTCACATAAGTGTAGCTACGATCTGTCAGCATACAACAGTCACAGTGATATAATATCACTGACTCTCCTTATGCTGCAAACATAGCATCAGTCTTTTTTCTTTTTTTTTTTTTTTTAATTTTTTTTTTCAACGTTTATTTATTTTTGGGACAGAGAGAGACAGAGCATGAACGGGGGAGGGGCAGAGAGAGAGGGAGACACAGAATCGGAAACAGGCTCCAGGCTCTGAGCCATCAGCCCAGAGCCCCACGCGGGGCTCGAACTCACGGACCGCGAGATCGTGACCTGGCCGAAGTCGGACGCTTAACCGACTGCGCCACCCAGGCGCCCCAACATAGCATCAGTCTTAAGGCCTTCCTCCTACTTCTGAGGTTGGGGTGTTGGCGTGCACAGGCAGTAAAATAAAGACTAATGGTCACTGATAACCCATATGAAACACTGAAGTGTACTGGACCTTTTTTGTTGACTGTCACAGTGCATAGAGAGATCTCAAAGGCTCGAGGAGTGAGCAGAACAGACACTTAGTCCCCTTCTGCAGGCAGTCATGGTGTGAAGTGGCTGTCCCTTATATAAGGCTTCAGGGTCTCAATGGCTTTGGCAGCAATTGGGTACATAGCACTCGGTAGAGGAGGATTCTTTGAAAGTAGTGAGACACCCAACAGGGACTTTTAGATACAACTGTTTGGGGAAGGGGTGCCTGGGTGGCGCAGTCCATTAAGTGTCCGACTCTTGATCTCAGCTCAGGTCATGATGTCATGGTTCAGAAGTTTGAGCCCCACATCGGGCTCTGCACTGATGGTGTGGAGCACCTTTGGGTTCTGTCTCTCAGTCTCTCTGCCCTCCCCTGCTTGTGCTCTCTCTCTTTCTTTCAAAGTAAATAAATTTAGATATAACCGTTTGGGGAAAAGTCAAGAAAATGGGGTTTCTGCTCTCCACTCCTATTTTTTTTTAATTTTTTAAAAATGTTTTTATTTATTTTTGAGACAGAACATGAGCAGGGGAGGGGCAGAGAGAGAGGGAGACACAGAATCTGAAGCAGGCTGCAGGCTCTGAGCTGTCAGCACAGAGCCCGACGTGGGGCTCAAACTCACAAACTGCGAGATCATGACCTGAGCTGAAGTCAGACGCTTACCCAACTGAGCCACCCAGGCGCCCCTCTCCACTCCTATTTTTTCTCTCTAGTTTACTCTAGTTTAGTTTTCTACTCTAGTTTCCTAATGACAAATGAGTATGAACACAAACTTGGGCGAAGGTGGATACAAAATGACCTACAGATTTTGAAATTTATAGAAACATAGCATTTTACAGCACGATACTATAGCATAAAAGTTCTAGCCCCGATCTTTAAATGTTTTTAATGTTCTAGAAAAGTCATGCGTCATTCTGTACACCTGTCACCTCCTTCAGCCTCGGCTCAAATGTCTCCCATCACAGGGGTTGCCTGGATACCTCAACACCATGGCACCACCGCTTCCTAGGCCCACTGTCTGA